TCATACATATTCAATTTATGATGGCCAAAGACAAAAAAAAATCATAAATCTAAATAGCATCATTTGATTGTGCTCCCAACATATCCCAATAGCATAAGGGAGTAATTAAGGAAAATACAAAATAAGACCTTATCATCTCAAAGAATTCTCCAAGGCAGAATACTCGAGAAAAAAACAAATATTGGTAATCTCGACACAAATAATATGGAACAAATTATATTCCAAATTAAACTAAAAATACGCTTTTCCTTTATACCACAAACACTCCACAGAAATCTGAAATCAATATCCACGAATAACCAGTTTTTAAAAAAATTACTGACATTGGAGGTACTACCTCAAAAGCTGGAATTTCAACCAATTTCAAACCTTCAAATGATGAGCCTCACACTTTACAGGTATGGGCAGCTCACCTTCATTTTTGTCAGCATCCAGTAAATTCTGAAACTCTGTGTGAAAAATTTCCAAGTGTTTCTCGATGAGGACCTGCTCACACTTTCTTGCGAGCTCATCCTGTGTGCTTTCATGAAGGTAAACCTGAACTCTCCGCTGCTCCTCAAGCAGACGAGCCTCTGCCTGCAGAGAATTGATGTCAATGAATGTTCTGATTCACTTCAGAAGATCTCATATGAACAAAAGTAAGTTAAGTTAATAAATCTGCTCTAGTAATTGTGATTAAGAAAAATGGGGAAAAGGATTTTAGACTTTAGGGTAAATGCTAACAGTATTTTAAAAGCCACTGTATGCCTCCTTTTCTCCCTGTAATTCACACTCCAATTCTTTAAATACCCTAATATTATCATTATGAACAGGTCAAATGTTTTTTTCTTCAGGTAAATGGTATTTCAAATTTTGGAGGCAATTCTCCCACCCCACCCCAGTGACCACCTAAGAAATCTGCAGATCCTCTTCTGTATATGGACACCACATTAAGCTCTACTTGAAAGCTGCCTGAAGTCCAGAGTCACACCAATACAATCCCAGAAAGAACCACTCAGAATCAAACATCAGCAATGAGATTTTTAAAAATTAAAGAAAAAAAATGGCCTTCTCTTGCCAACAACTGAGAATCTCTTGCCAACCTCTGAAATCTATGCAGTCATTTATAAACTAATTTCTTGCATTTCTCTCTATGAAAGACAGGGAAACAGGCCATTTAATACAGCAGAAACCCAAGTAAGAGTACCTTTTAGAATCTGTCACCAGAAATACATGTAGTACAGAGTCACTGAGAACGGCTAAATCACCAAAGCAAGGAAGAAAGTGCAAAGATACTCTCAAATTCTTCAGATGCTCTGAATAAAGACACACAAAGCTGCATTTTGAACTGTAAAAATGCCAGTAGTCTCTACACAGATTTTCAGATATGGTATAACTACAGAAAAAGCTGAAAAAACTCAATTGGAATTGAATAAACTTTCAAGGGCCAAGAAAACAACTGACTAGGAAGGGTTTGGACTGTCAAATGTGACCATGGGCAGTTATTAACCACAGAACAGAGCTACAGCCTAGTACACAGTCTACAGAAAGCCAAGTGTAATACATGGATTCAGACAGTGTCTGCAGTGTATATAAAGAAGCCTGTGTTCCTAATACAAATGACCTCTAACAAATAGCCCAAAATGCAACAGGAGAAAGAAAAAAGCCAAGTCACAAATGAAGAAACATGAAAGGTCTTAAGTTAGTAAATTCTGAGTAAGAAGTAACTAATTTTACCTAGTAAATTAAAATACAGCAAAATAAATTACAGCACATTTGTTAAATGAAATATCATTATCCACTAAAATAAATATAAAATATGCCAAATAACAAATAGCCCAAAATGCAACAGGAGAAAGAAAAAAGCCAAGTCACAAATGAAGAAACATGAAAGGTCTTAAGTTAGTAAATTCTGAGTAAGAAGTAACTAATTTTACCTAGTAAATTAAAATACAGCAAAATAAATTACAGCACATTTGTTAAATGAAATATCATTATCCACTAAAATAAATATAAAATATGCCAAATCATTAACACACACACACACACACACACACACACACACACACACACACACAAAGACCACAGCAATATCCCAATGGGTAAGTGTCCCAGTCTTGTGGGTTTATGTTGTTTGTGTATTCCAGAAAGTCTGTATTTAATGTGTACTTTTGTTTCTCTGATTACCAAGTTCTTTTAGAACTGTAAGTTCCAAGTTCAGGCCCTGCTGTTGAAGTCAGTGTTTCATTTAGTCTGCTGCTGCAAAAGCAAAAACAAGTAAAACACAGAACACACAGACCAAACTATCACTCCTCCCGCTTTAAGTTGCACCTGTTTCTTGGAAGAACGTAATCACCTTGGGCAGGAAAACCTTTACTCCTTCCCAGGAGAAAGGCCAGGCCTTGATATCAATGTGAGTTCTCTCTCAGGCACTGGCTACAGTGGCAGTCTATGGAGCTTCCTGCCACAAACAAATGGCAGGAAAAAGGAAGCAGGAACCTAAGTAGGACCTGCCACTATCTCAGATGGTGATCATTAAAGAAGCCAAAATTCCAGATGTTCAGTGCTACCAGGTTTCTGAAAGGACAAGTCATTTAAGTTTGTCACTGATTCTGACTGTGATATTAAAACACCAAGACCATACTCAAATAAGTAAGTAACACGAAGCTCTTAAAGATTGTTCCCAATGGGGCTGGAGATGGCTATGTGGTTAAAAGCACTGGCTGCTCTTGCAGAGGACCTGGATTCCGTTCTCAGAACTCACATGGTGACTAACAATGCTCTTTAACTTCAGTTCCAGAGGATCTGACACTGTCTTCTAGCTTCCATGGGCATGACAGGCGCACTTCCATACATGCAGGCAAAACACTCAGACACATAAACGTAAAATTTAAAAAGATTGCCCCAACTAACTCCATTAGAACCAATTCTCAGTAAACACAAAAGAGGGGAAAAACCAGACCAAAACAGGTTGGCTAGGAAATAAATAAGGCATTTTGTTTTTAAATAAAAAATTAACATTAGGAATCTAGAATATTCATATCTTTTTGTTGCTCAGATTAGTCTCAATCATGAGAGAGTAGGTTTTTTAATGTGAATATAGCTTGCAGTGGTTCAGTCATCAAAACCACCCTTAGATGGAGCAATGATTTTCAAATGTTTGCACTAAAATATTACTGATAACAGCAAAGGGAACAGAGGCCTCTTAGGGACTGTGAACACTTGGCCCAAACTGGCTATGGAAAGTATTTCCTGAATACTCAATACTCAATACTGTTCATGAATTTTTTATTCTACTTGCTTGTTTTAATAGAAACATAATTTCCCCCCAAATTATAAAGTTTCCCTTTTGGGGGGGGTGTCTTTTTGAGACAGGGTATCCTTGTAGTTCCAGCTGACCAGCAACTTACTATGTACACCAGTGGCCTTGAACTCAGAGATCTACCTGTCTCTGCTGGGATTAAAGGCTTGCACCACCATGCTTGGCAAAGTTGCCACCTTTTATCTGATGGCTCTGTACCCCCCCAGGCACACAGTGGAGGTTCTGTCAGGTATGTATTGGTAAAGCCAAATCATCAGGTTTGCCTTTGTCATACGCTTTTCTATATACCCATACATACATACATACATACATACATACATATATACATACATACATACGTACGTACATAGATTTAGATCTCCTTTTAGATTTTAAAGGTAAAGCCCATACAATCCTCATTATCACCTACTGTTATTTTTTTTCCCATTTCATAGGTGAAGAAACCAAGGAACAGAATAGTTCATCATCCTTTAACCTTTAATACTAGACTCATGGCCCAATTTGAAATGTAAAGTTCTAGAATTATCTCTACATGAGATAAATTGTTCATGTGGTTCAACTGGTTAAATTAATAAATTACTTATATTTTTAGCATCTGCATTATGGACTTCCAGAATAAGATGAAGTCACGTTTAACAGGAATTTGAAGTGGGTCTGGATCAAACCTTTAACTCCTTCAGGAAGGAATTAATTTTCTGGGCACCTGGAGGCAGCACACATATTGCTGTTTCCTTAAAGCTGGGGATATGCTACATTGAAAATACCCTGCCCACTGGGCATCTTTACTCTCTAGGCTGCCTGACTTTAAAAAAGAGATTTCCTCATTTCTAAGTGCTGCTGTAGCTCTGTCCTAAACTGCTGTTCTCCTTCTACAGGGAACTGTTGCTGCTCTCATTGGCATGGAGGATCGACATCGCTCAAATCACTAACAAGTCCACAAAGGGTGGGCTGGCACTACTACTGTGGGTATGCACCCAGAGGCGGTTCCGCTTTAAAATTTGGTTTAAGGGGGCTGGAGAGATGGCTCAGCAGTTAAGAACACTGGTGGTTCTTGCAAAAGACCTGGGATCGAATCTCAGCACCCACATGGCAGCTAACAACTGTCTGTAACTCCAGTTCCAGGGGATCTGATGGCCTCTTCTGTCCTCTGCGGGCATTGCATGACATGGGTGCATTTACCTACATGCAGGCAATATACATATAAACATAAAAATAATAAAAATTGTAAAAAATATGGTTTAAAAATCACTATTGGGGCTGATGAGATGGCTAAGCGGGTAAAGGTACTTGCTGCCAAGCCTGATGCCATAAGCTTGATCCCTGGTACCCACATGGTGGAAGGAGAAAACCAACCCAAATGTGTGTCATCATGGCACATGTACATTTGCACTTACACACTTACATACCCACAAAATAAGTATTTTTAAAAAAGAACTATTAATAGCAAAGTTCAGTAAAATCTGTTTATGACAACCATAGCCATGCTATAGAAACTAAGTAACAGGCAATGTTAGCAAACAGATCATGTTTCAAACCCTTTGAAGGAGCTGGTTAGGTTTCAGTTAGCATACAAAATTTACACAAAGAAATATTACTATCCTGCATATACAACCAAATAGTCCAGGCTTTGTTAGATTGAGGTATCAGAAATCTATAAAGGACTTTCAACCTCAAACTTAAAAGGCCCACTCATAAGCCAGGTGTGGTGGTACCTACTTGTATTCCCAGCACTTGGGAGGCATAGCAAGTTCCAGGCCAGCTGGGGCTACAGGGAGACTCTCCCTGTCCCCCCCCCCCCAAAAAAAAGGCCCACTCATAACCACAACATTCCATAGGCAAACACACTCAGAATCTCACAAACCAGGCATGACTTTATGTGACAGGAGCAGGGTCGTTGCTTACTCTTTTGTATCTTGCATATAGAAAAAGTAATTCACAGTCAAGAGAGGTTAAAGCAACTGTTAGATTTGGTATGATCCAGATTCTCCGAAAATCTAGTTATCTATAGGTGAAGGGTCAGCCAACTATGGCCTACTGGCAAAATCGTTTGACATCTATTTTTCTTTTAAAAATAAAAACTTTTTTGGAATCCAATCATACCCACTATTTGCATATTTCTATGGATGCTTTTATATTATGTCAGGGTTGAACAGTGGCAACAGAGACTTATGTATGGCCCACAAAGTCTACAGTATTTACTACCTACCCTATAAAACAGAAAGCTTACTGACTCCTAATGTAGTCATTCCTTGGATCAAATAATCCTATTAGAAGTTCATGGGAGCAGCCATTACTTAGCTCAACAGAGGATGATTCACATGGCTCCATCTTGGATCTTCCCCCAAGTCAGAATTCAGAGCTCCTGTTTCAGAAGGACCCCTCTCTCTTCTCCTAACAAACTTGAAGGCTGAGCTATATAGAGTCTTAGGGAACATTTTAGGAGCAAAACAGCAAAAACTTAAAAGCTTGCAAATCAGAATATATGCTTCTTAAAACTTTTCTCATTGATATGAGATTATGATATTCATTAGACAGACAGAGCTCCATACGCCAAGAGAAACAACTCCAAGCACAGAAGACATGCAGCTACCAAGGCATACCCTTAGGTCAGAGTGGAACCCAGGTGTGGCTGCTAGACTATCTGTAGGGCCCTTGGAGAGTGAGAAGCAGCGGTAACCTACTAGATGCTGGTGACAGCAGTGGCAATTGTGACTTGTGAGGACATTGTACTGCCCAGAACTCACCTAAGGAGCAATGACTATTGAACTTAAATGTATTTTTACATACTATATTTAAGCTTACCTTTTTCATATATTCAGTAACTGGGTTCTGCTGCAAGAATTCAGTACTCTCTCTGGTATAAAATCTCTCTGTGTCAGCCAAAAATTGAGATTCAAAGGATTCTTTATACACTGTTAACGTAGGGCCCTTTGCAAATGCATCATCTTCATTCAGCCCCAATTCCACTAGAAATAAATATGAGCTATATTTCAATTACCCTATTTTTTGTTATATTTCACATATAATACTTATGTGTAGCATTCCGTTTAAGTTATAAAAGATCAATGGGAAATGGAGGGTGTAAGGTAACTTGCTGACTAGTATTAAAGTACTCTTTGTTTCAGTAAAGAAAAAAGAAAATGAAGTCCAAGATGTATAAACAGCAAATATTCCTGACTCAAAGCCAAGTATGCTTCAAAATGATCCTCAGGTTCAATTAAGGAACTTTTACATTTCCAAAAGCAATACAAATTTCTAAGTTTAAAACCTTCAAAGAAATACAATGTTACCCAAAATCTACAAACACCATAGTACTTCATCAGTTTCTCGATCTCAATTTTTCAAGCTGATATAGATTTCTGGCTATCATTTAGCTGAAAAACCATCACATTATATATCTAGTAATGTAGCATGAGACCACAAAAAGTTCAAATTCTCATCAAAATTTTCAAAAAGCACAAGGATAAAACACAGTTGATTGGTAAAATCACTAACTTAAAAGTACCTTTAAAAATGGAGCAACATTCTTGATAATATTTAAAGGGGTTTTTTCAGATAGGGTCTCCCTGTAGCTGGCCTGGAACTCTATGTAGACCAGGCTGGTTTTGATCTCAGAGATCTGCCTGCCTCTATCTTCCATGTGGTAGGATTAAAGGCAAGTGCTACCACACCCAGCTTCTATTTAAAAGTGTGTAAACTGCAAATATTGTAATAGGGTGGTATCTTTTTTAGTTGAGAAGTTCACACTATTTCTTGCCTTCAATTTGTTTCTCACACTGTCTCCTTTGAGGGGGGGCATCTTTTTGAGACAGGGTCTCCCTGTAGCCCCAGCTGTTCTGGAACTCACTATGTAGACCAGGCTGGCCTTGAACTCACAGAAATCCACCTGCCTCTGCCTCCCGAGTGCTGGGATTAAAGGTGTGCGCCACCACACCCGGCTTATTTAAAAGTTTTTAAAAGAATCTGTTAGACCATTATTATGATTGTCATGAAAACTGAATAAATTAAAGTCAAATGATTTACCATAAGATTGCACAACTCCACTAATCAGTCTTGTATTGATGGTTTCACCATTTCGTTCCTTTTCAATCAGTTTTAAAACAGCATTTGTGACCTTTAAGAACACAAGAAAAATACAAGATATATAGATTATCAGGCACAATGTATATACATATCCCTTAAACATTCAAACAATGAGATAACAAATACTTTTTTAAAATGTTAAAATACTTTATTAGCATTAATATGCTTAGTTTAAGCAATAACATGATTAGACTGAAAAACCTTGTATAGGTTGGAAAATTTGGAAAGAGTAAACGCAAATTCACATTACATCAAGTGACAAATCTGACATTATTAATGAAGCTTGGTAGTACAGTTTTGTCAGTAACAAACATATAGAATTATGAATTTACATTCTAAAATACATTAAAATTTTTAGTTTGGGAATAATAGCAGTTTAGTCGTTACTGTGCTTTTTAAAAAACAACAACAACAACAACAAAAAACAAAACACAAACTTCCCAGATTCTCTTTTTTTTTTTTTTAAAGACAGGGTCTCCCTACAGCCTCAACTGGCCTGGAGCTTGCTATGTAAACCAGGCTGGCCTTGAACTCAGAGATCCACCTGCCTCTGTCTGATTTTTATCTCTAGAAGTTCAATTAGGTGTACAAAGGGGCTGAAGAGAAATAGAAAAATAATGGAAAACCTCATGGTACCTGGGAATGGGAGAGGACCAACTTTAAGGCCTTGGATGCCCAGAACCTTGTGTGTAGTCAATACCACAGCTTAGCCCTCAGGGGAGGTGGGAGATCTATTCTAGAGATTCCATCCTCCCAGGACTAGAATCTACAAATGACAGAGACCTCCCTTGCCCCTAGAATAAGCTCTTTTGAGATAGTGTTTCTCATTGCCCTGGAGCTCTGCCTAGGGATCTGTCTCCAACTGTCTGGGGATTACAAGTGGGTGCCAGTATACCTGGCTTTCTTATGTGAGTTCTGGGGATCTAACTCAGGTCCTCACACTTGCAGGGCAAGCACTTTACTGAAATACTTGAAATATTCCAAAGACATGAGGAAGACAAGCTAAAAGTAGAAAGGGATTTTTTTTAAAAAAAAGGAAAACACAGACATTCAAACAGTAGATACCTGTTTATTCAACGGCCTGAACAAACAATCTCTCCATGTCACCAATGCAAGCTGGATGAAAAAGGGAAGAAGTAGCATTAAATATCTATTTTACCATGGTTCCCCAAAACTGCATAATCATGTGAATTCTAAATTTTACTAAAATTTCTAGATTATAACTGGTAAAAAAAAATCTATCAAATGAAATCAGAAACACTCTAAGTTAACCACTTTGTCCAGATGTTTATCAGTTCACATATTAACAGTGACATTTTAAAAAGAAAAATTTTATTTTAATGTTTAAAAAGTTACTTTTATGTGTATGAGTGTTTTGTCTGTATATAAGTGCATTCATGTTGTGCAATGCCTGTAAAGGCCAGAAGAGGGTGTCAGATCCCTTTGAACTAGAATTACGGATGCCTGTTAGCTGGATGATTTTTAGTGGTGAGTGCTGGGAACTGAAGAGCATCCTCTGCAAGAGCAGCCAGTGTTTTTAACCACTGAGTCATTTCTTTAGTCCTGGAAATTTTTTGATTTTAGAAGAACATTAATGTTGGCTTAAAAGGTAGCAAGGGATTCAATCTATAAATTTATTCCCTTGATCAAATGATTTTTGACTAAATATACCTGATAAAAGTAATTTCATTTATAACCACAGGTTCCAAATAACATCAAGATAAATTACAGATTATAAAAATCTATCAATTTAGGTATCTGGATTGTGTATTTTAAATGGATGCAGTTACTTGCACATAAATTATTAAGACCTACTATTGCATCTGTATGTGACTGTGTGAGATATGCATTTCTACGTGTGTATGTCTATGGTAAACACACTAGTGCACGGACACCAGAGGAGGATGCCAGGTGTCTTGCTCTATCACACTCTACCTTATTCCCTTGAGACAAGAGTCTCTCACTGAACCTGGAGCTAGGTTGGCAGCGAACAAACCCCAAATGACCCTATCTCTATACCCTACAGTGCTAGGGTTACAGGTGAGGCTTTATGTAGGTGTTGGGGATTTCAACTCAGGTACTTATGCTTGCACAGTGAGTGTTCTTACCTGCTGTGCTATCTCCTTAGCCTCCAAGATATACATCTTAAATTAATTTATAAATATCATGTGGTCTCATTTTTCTACTTTCCTAAATTTTCCAAAAGAGTTATACCAAGATTAATTACTGTAAAACTGGTCTCCAAAAGAATAAAGTTAGAATTTACAAATGACTTTAAAACTGTTTGTTGGGAGAGGTACTAGTACATTAAAACAAAACCGAAATTTATAACAGCTTAACACACAAGTACCAACTATTGAGAAACTCAAACATAACACCATCAATCTTATTTTCCCCCAAATTTAACTAGAGATAAAATTAGGTTCATAAAGAATACATTTTTTAAAAAAAATTTATTATTTTTATGTGTATGAGTATATTGCCTGCATGTATGTAAAGTATACCTGTGTTGTGCAATGCCCTCGGATGTCACAAAGGGACATCAGATCCCCTGAAACTAGAGCTACAGACAGTTGTTAGTCGCCATTTGGGTGCCTGGAACCCAACCCAGGTCCTCTGCAAGAGCAGTCAGTGCTTTTAACTGCTGAATCATCTCTCCAGCCCCCAAGGATATACATTTTTGAAAAGATTATATATAAATTTAATCTATGTACTTTCCAAGCAGAGTTGCCATTAAATTCCATGAAAGCAATTATTTAAGAGGATATTATTTTTTATTATAGCATGAGGAACATATACTCAAGGCCAGTATTAGAACAAAAAGATTTCATTATGAGAAATTCTTGACTATGGTGTGCAAAAGATGCTGGGAGGCTGAACCTCACTATCCAAGGGAAAGATGAACCTGGAGAGTATGCTCAATCTCCCCTTTCTTCTCTGCAATTCCTCAATGGCTGTTCTCCAATTCAGTAGGCCATAGTTATGAACTTCTAGCAGAATTTCTATACTTTAAAGCAAAGCAGTCCCATTTGCTAGAGATTCTGGACCTATGACAAAGTACTATAAGAACTGCTTCACTGTGCCAAGTGACACCCAAACCAGCACATGATTTCTGCAGGCTTACTTGAACAGCTCAAAAGGGAACACTGTTTCTAAGTGGAGCAGCAGCAGCAGCTATAGTATCTGATGATACAGAAAATATGGGTTTTGACCTTTCTCTGAATTTTAAAATAGAAAATAATGTTTTGTACATAAGTACATGCAGTGCAACAAAAAAACTAAACTGAAATTTCGGCTGTCCTATTCCATTAGAAAGAACCAGAATTTCCTTTTGTAGTTAATTTCTAGTGTGAATATTCAGTTAATATAAATTAGTTACCATTATCCGCAGCAGTGGTCTTTTCAGATGTCTTAAATCGAGCACTGTGCTGCTGAGTTATTTCACGTTTTTTGGTGGGAGTGGGGCAGGACTGAGGACTGAACCAGAGCCTCTCAACATGCTAAGCAAGTGTTCCACCACTGAGTGATATTCCTCTCCCCCTTTTTTGAGACACGGTCTTGCTAAATTGCTCAAGCTGGACACCATTTTGTAACTCCGCAGATGCCCCAGTTTCTAAGACTATAAGCACGTGCCGCTATGCCAGCCATCTCACAATCTTAAAATCAGGATACCAATTAGTTAATGTTATTCCTATGGTTTAGGTGGGGAATGATTCTTTTATAAAATACAGTGTTCAACTAGTAGAAATAGAAAACACCCAGGCAAGAAATTTGGCAAGCTTAAGAAAATTTCTCTTTGGTTGCTATATAATTTTTTAAAGAAGCATTTTGCTGTATTGTTTGGTTCAAAGCTTAACTGTGTAAGCCATATTTTAATGAATTTACATATTCAGCATAACAAGTCTAGGATGGGGTCTAGTAACTATCTGCAGGTTACTATATACATTTAAGTTATTTGCTAACACCAAAACAAATTGTTTGGGGAATAAATGCAACCTTTTAAAGTTGTTGCTGTTTCTGTAATGTGTATCTGCCCCCCCGCCCCCCCCGTAAAGCAATAAAATGATGTGAAAAAAAAAAGGGAGAAAGTATGGGTTTTGAAAGAAGATTTTAAAAGTAATAAAAGCAGTTGAATCTTGCCAAGCATAAGGTATCTTTAAACTTTTTATTTAAACTTGTGACTCTTAAAGTACATGGAATGTGAAAAGGCAGGAATGACTTTGGAGTCTGATGTTGTAGGATATATACAGGGTTCTTTAGAGGTCAAGCAGGTTTCCAGAAAGAACTCAACCAGAATCAGACCAATTTTCTCTCTGCCAACTTTAGGAAAAGGGGAAGCCTATCAGTCACTGCATGATACATATTTCAAAACATGTTGAACATATTACATATATAATCTTTGTCAATTAAAAAATGTTCAAGAAAAGGGGAAGTACAAAAACCTGTACTCAAACAAAACCTGGAAAGTTCTGTTAAAACTACATAACCACAGAACAAAGTGCTGCTTATGCAGGGACATCAGTTTGGGTATAGAAACTGAGCTCTAAAAATGCTCAAAGTCCTGTATCTGGGCTATAGTTATTATGCTTTTCTTTTAATTAAATTTGCCAAAAGCAAAGTGACAAAAGACTGCTACTACAGAATGGGCATGGAGATAACCCCTTGGTGCAGAATTTGACATTAAAAAACTGACCCCAGAAGAGTATTCTTTGTTTGGATCTGATAGCTCATTAGCACAGACTGTTGTTCTTAATGAATACGCTCTCAACTGCTCTAGAAGAGTGATTCTTAGACTTAATTAAGCCCAAGAATCACCCGTGTGTGTGTGTGTGTGTGTGTGTGTGTGTTGTACAAAAGAGCCCAGAGGACAACTTCAGCTATTGTTCTTTAGGAGCCATTCACCTTGTTTTGATACAGGGTTACGCTGGCTGGCCAGCAAGTTCCAGGATCTGCCTAGCTCAGACACCGCAGCACTGGTATTATAAGCCTGATACCACCCCCATTTTCAGATGGGTTCTGAGGGACTGAACTCAGGTCCTCAAGCACTCCACCAAATGAGATATCCCAGCTTTGTAGAGTTTTATTTTTATTTTTTATTCTTTTTGAAGAAAGGGTTTCATACAGTCCAGGCTAGCTGGGAACTTGCTATGTAGCAAAGGATGACCTGAACTTCTGATTCTCTTGTCTGTACCTCACAAATCCAGGGATTGCATGTGTGTGTGCCACTACATCTGGTTTATGCAATATGGAAAACTGAACCTAGGATTTCATGCATGCTAGGCAAGCACTCTATTAACTGAGCTACATCCCCAGCCCATGAAGAACTTCATCAGGCTTCTGGGCCCATCTCTAAAGTTCCTAAACAAGTCTAGGATGGGGTCTGGGAATTTGCATCTTTATCAAGTTCCCAGGTGATACTGATGAAACAAATTTAAAGGCTATACTTTGAGATACCAGAAAGCCTAAAAAACAAAACACAAAACAAAGCAAAAATAAAAACAAAACACCCACCCCAAACCTTAAAAAACTAATTAATTAATTCAGGGTCATCTCAGAAATACAGAACTCTCAGACGATGAAAGTACATGAGGGCCCATGCAAGGCTTAAGCCTTATACAAGGTACCTGATTTGCTGGTGACTGACAGGGTTCCAGACTTCTAATGCTAAAACTCAGGCTGTTCCAGGCAAAACATGATGGTTGTCAAATAATCAGTACACTTTTAAAAGTACTGGCTGGACAGATGGCTCAACAATTAAGAGCTTGTATTGCTCTTGCAGAGGACAAAAGATTTACTTCCAGCACCTATGCCAGGCACCAAGTGGCTCATAACCAACCACCTGTTACTCCAGTTGCAGGTGATCTGACACTTTCTTCTGGCCTCCAAGGGCATAACCCACACTCAGATATACATATACACATAATTTAAAATTTTTAAAAAAGTAAATGCAGAACCATGCAACTTGTATTTTACCGCTCCAATTTCCCATCTTTCTACTTTCTTGCCACCAGATACTTAAGTGTCATTTATTTACAGAAAAAAATTAGCCTACTTATTCAGTAAACTGTTTAACATTGATTAAATCCACTTATTGAAAGATATGCATTACTACAAAACACCATTTGAAAGGTTCTTTTTTTAAAAAGAAAATAAAAAACCTTACTGAGTAGATTTCATAGATTCCTTTCCGACCCTCATCACACTCACGGCGAACCCAATGTCTATTGAGGTAGGCACAGATTCCATTCAGCACTTTGCTGGAGAATCGGTAATCTTCCCATTGCTGAGTGTAGAACTTCAGCACACTCTCATCCATCAAATCTTCTCCATCCTGAAAACAAGTTCACTACCGCTTTAAAATGACTACCACATAATAAAGATAAAAGTTAATGAAAAATCTATCACATCTAAAATACATTGATAAGACAGGTTCTTTAAATTACTGTATATGAGAACATGCCAATATAAATTTCACAAGAACATTAGTAAAAAGTTCTTCCATATCAAATTAAATTGGAGCTTTTTGTGGGACTGAATATGCATTATACACTCATGAACCATACCCTGAATTTTTAGAATGTGAAAGTAATTTTTCTTTTCTATTTTTGGTTTGAGACAGGGTCTCAGTAAGTTGCCCAGGCTGGTCTTAAACTCAGTATGCGGCCCAAGTAGGCTTGAAACTTGGATCCTTCTGCTTCAGTCTCCTAAGCAGCTGGGATTATCAGATGTGTGCCACCATGCCCAGTGGCAATCTCTTTTCTTGCTTTCTTTTTTCTTCTGCAAATGTATCTCATGCATAGCAGGCTGGTCTGGAATTCACATGTAGCTGACAATGACCTTGAACTTCTCATCTCCCTGCCATTACCACTTGAATGCTAAGATTATAGGTTTGCACCACCACATCCCTGTTTTTAACAGTTTCTTTTTATAAAAGAATTTACCTCCAAAGCACCTGTATGTTTGATATTTTCCCAATTTTAAAAAAAGATTAATCTGTCCCGTTAACAAGTTATAATGTGAGGCTAACATACTTCTAAAATACTTCATCCTGTCTTAAAAATTACAAAAACATTCGTCTAATTCATGACATTTATTTCATTTTTAACAAGAAACATGATATAATATTTCTTTTTCAACAAAACCTCATCAAGAAAATGGACATTTATCAAAATTATTACTTTAAATTCTACAACTTATATCACATATTTTTATTTGGACAAAATTAACTCAAAAAATTTCTTAGGTATTAATGGCATCTCCAAAATATGTTTTACCCTTTAATATACTACATGACCATTTATAGGTGTTGTACAGGATACACCAAAGGCCAGTGGTAGCCTAGTCTCTTCTGTAGCCTCAGTAGAAAGACAAAGGTTATCCCATTTGTATAATCCATCCAGTCATGTAAATAACTTGTCATGTCCAGACACAACCAAATATTAACTATGAAATGAACTTTAAAATGTAAAGCTAACCTGCTCCAAATTTAAGATATTTAAAAATAATTTTTTTTTTGTCTTTTTGAGACAGGGTCTCCCTATAGCCCTTGAAAATCTGGAACTCATTAAATAGACCAGGCTGGCCTTGAAATCACAGAGATCTACCTGCTTCTGCCTCCTGAGTGCTGGAATTAAAGGTGTGTGCCACTGTACCTGGTGATAACTAAAAAAAAATTTTTATCTATTATTTTTATTTTAAGTATATGAGTGTAGTGCCTGCATATGTGAGTGCACTTATGTTGTGCAGAGGGTGTTGGATGCCCTGGAACTGAAGTTACAGATGGTTGTTAGCTGCCATGTGAGTGCTGGGAACCTAAGCCAGGTTCTCTGCAAGAACAGCCAGTGTTCTTAACCACTGAGCCATCTCTCCAGTCTCATAAATTCAAAATGCAAATATACTGCTGATGGTCTGGCTGTAGAAAATAGAATACACTTTGTTTTGGTGCCAAGCAATAATTAGTTACAGGGTTTTATTTACAAAGTATTGTGACTATAAAGAACACGGAGGCTGTTAACAAGACAAGAGAATCACTGTTTAAGAACAGGAGCTGGTACTATATTAGTTACAACTTGCCTATAGGAATAACATATTTCCAATCAGCTTATAAAATAAAGAAAAAAAAAACATTCTTGCAGCAGCAGAAGGTTTTGTGTTATTATCTACATATCTTTAAAAAGTCAAACTTCATACATAGAAGAATCCCTGAGAACTTTCCAGGGTAGAGAGCAGAAGCATCTTCATTGACTGAAGGAAGACAGCACCAGATCAAGGAGCCACCTGCTCATCCAGTGGTGGGGTGTAAGGCACCCCACTGCCTTTGTTACAGAGCACAACTATTGAAAACCAAAGGCAGAAGGTGAAGGAGAAACGATTCATCACTGTCCAAGCAATGGTTTGAGCTGACACGTGTACTCAAGGGAGGTGGATAGTTGCACTACTCCACCTAGACCAGCACAATGTCATTAACAGTTCTGGAATATATTTCATGATCATATTCAAGAAGCAAGATCACACTTGAGCAATGTGATTAGAAGAAGCTTAATAACCTTGCCTTTTTTTTTTTTTTAATTGGAGGGAGTGCTGGGGGTGCTAAGCAAGTGCTCTACCATTAAGCTACATCCCTTAACCCTGAGTTACATATTTTGATGGAGAACATCACACTAGGTTCAGAATAAAATACAAGTAACTTGAATACATAATTACATGCTTTAAATGAAATGGTTCAACAATTTCTAAAAATTACATATATAAATTGGTTAACAATTTATATCAATAACTTGTAATTTTAGTTTTTGTTTTTTTTAAGTTTACAAAGGTTTTATCTTGGTAACAGGTAAAAGACCAACCCAATATGAAAACATATCCACACACGTTAATCTAAAGCAGTGAATGTGAAAATTTAGTATTTATGGTAAAATCATTTCACTTTTTAAAAACAGTTTCTATGTCTGGTATGGCAGTAATCATCTTACCTTAAGAAGATTTGTCAAGTAATTCTTCAAAAATTCCTTAAGTCGCTTGTACAATTCCAGGCCGACAAACTGAGCTCCTCCAGGTGTCTGCCCCTTTTTTGACTTGGAAGGAGGCACTCCAGCCCCCCGTGCTTGATTGGACTGGTGTACACTAGTACAGTAGTTATAAACATGACTTGGAGAAAGTTAAAGAAATTAACATGTACCATTGATGCCAAGAGTGATTAACATGAACATATCTCCTATCAATACACTCCCAGTATGTTGATCAAAATCTGTTAAAAACTAGAGTGGAAAAAGATGTCACTCACACTATCAATAAAGCTGAAAGCCAGCAAGCCCATTCACAAAGATGTCCATAAGTCTGGAAAGCATAGAGAACATTCTTGAGAGATTGTCAACAAAAACCCTGGACCTTACTAAAACTGTCTCACATTGACTGACATTGTGGAAACTGTCCTGAAAAGCAACATGTACAAAAGAAAGGATGCAAGCCAGATGCACTTGGGAGGCAGAGGCAGGTTCAAGGCCAACCTGGTCTATATATCAAATTCCAGGCCAGCTAGAGCTAGGGAGTCCCTGTCTCAAAAAGATCAACAACAACAACAAAAAAAAAACCCCAGCAACAGCAAAAAAGGTTGCAAATTTTAAAAAGCAGTTATAATATTTAGTTTAGAAAAAACAAAAATCCAAGAATAATCACAGCAAATCATGATGCTTAGTTATGAATATTATTTCCAGGAACACATATTATAAATGCTGAAATAACCAAACTTTTTTTTTTGGTCTTTTTGAGACAGGGTCTCCCTGTAGCCCTAGCTGGCCTGGATTTGCTATGGAGACCAGGCTGGCCTCAAACTCACAGAGATCTGCTTGCCTTTGCCTCTGGAGTGGTGGGATTAAAGGCGTGCACCACCACGCCCGGCTTGGAAAGTATTTTAAAAGCAAAGTTAAATTGAAATATGAGTGTATTGTCTGCATGTATGTGAGTGCACCCATGTCGTGCAACGCTGTGGAGGTCAGAACAGGCTTCAGATTCCCCTGGAACTGGAGTTAAGGATGGTTTGTAGCTACCATGTGGGTGCTGGGAATCGAACCTGGGTCCTCTGCAAGAGCAGTCAGTGCTCTTAACTGCTGAGCCATCTCTCCAGGCCCCCAAATTTTATTTTTAAATCATTTATAAATGGATTTACATAGAACTACATTCTGAGAATGAAGCAAAGGGCACACAAGAGAACAATGAAGTCACAGATGTCCAAAACTGCCAACAGCAGCAAGTCCACACACCATCGAGAAAAAGAAGTACCCAAACAGCAGAAGCGGCTGCCTCTACAGATGAGAGTGATGGGCTCGGGGGTAGGGGTGAGAGAGGAGAGAAGTGCCTCTGGATGTCCTTTATGGACTTATCTGCATGCATTAAAAAGACTGAGAGGGAGAGCAATGAAAACACAGCAGCAAAATATACTATTCTGCTGAATTTAAGAATTTACTATATAAGGATACTTCAAATTGGTGTATAAAAGATTACCTAACAACAAAGATGTTTCAAAATATATTGCAAATGGATTAACAATAAATATACATGAAATAAAACCATAAAACCAGGAAAACAGACAGGAATATTACTTACTTGCTTTCAGGTTGGAAATGTCCTTTCCAAAGAAATCACACATATTTAATTTGAAAATCTGAACATATTAAAGTAAAAATATCTTCAAAGAGTAAAAGTATCTTCAACAAATTAAGGTAATTTGGCTGGGTTCAATCCCCAGCACCATAAAAACTAAGGTAATTTAAAACAATATGAAAAAATGGCTTTAGAAACATGGCTGAAGTATACCAGACAACATAAAAGAGGTACATTGATGGTCAAAAAGCTAATAAAATATCCAATTCCAGTAGTTATCAAATAACTACATCTTAACAAATCACTATGTTTCAATGGTAGCAAGAGTCACAGCTTACAATAAGTATCTTTGGCTCATGACTCAGTGGTGGTGGCACACCTGCAATCCCAGCACCTAGGTGGAGGCAGGAGGTCCAGAAGTTCAAGGTCATCCTTGGAACCCAGCTAGTTGGATCTAGCTGGGGTTATATAAGACCCTGTCTCAAAGAAAAGAGAAAAAGGGGCTGGGGAGATGGCTCAGAGGAAAGAGCACTGACTGCTCTTGCAGAGGACCTGAGTTTTGTTCTTAGCACTCACATGGTAGCTGGCAACCATTCACAACTCTGGTTCCAGGGGATCCAATGCCCTCTTCTGACCTCTGCAGGCCTTTCAGATGTTTGCAGTATTTGTCCCCAATACCACCATGGCAGACTGCAAACTCCCACAGGATATTCCCAGAAGGGAAACTGGGGAGTTATATGTAAGAAGGAAGACACCATCTGGCTTTATCACAGACTACAGCCAGTAACTGCAGAGGCTGCATTTTCCCCTTCTCCTCCCTACTTCCCTCCCTCCCTCCAGGTCAGCCACCTATCCACCCAGACTTTCCTTCCTACATCTCTCCCTTTTCTTTTTTGAGACAGGGTATCATTGTGTAGCCCTAGCCTGTCTGGAACTCATAGACACCTGCTGCTTCTGCCTCAGGAGTGCTGGGATTAAAGGTGTGCACCACCATGTCATGCTAGAAGCTGCATTCTTTTCAAAAGTACACAGTATGCTTCCCAGGACAGGTCATTGAACAAGTGTCAATATGTGAAAGAACCAAAATCACCAAACATTTGTTGTCTGACCAAAATGGAATCACATTTGGAATTAGTAATCATGAATTACTCAGGAAAACTTCAAATACATACAGCATAACACACTTCTGTATAACCCAAAAGCCAAAGAAGAAATAAGTAACAGTATTTTAAACCAAGTGATGATTGATGAAAACATAGCAAAATTTGTGAAATGAAGTTAAAAATCCATGAAGAAATTTATGTCTTCAAATGTTTATATTAGAAAACAAAGTAGGAAGCTTTAGTAACAGAAAAGCAATACTTCCCAAATTGATCTACATATTCAATGCAATCTTTGTCAGAAGTGATGGCATGAGTCTAAGAGTCACATGGAATTTCAGGGAACCCAAAAAAGTCCAAAACTCTTTCACATACCGCCCCCCTCCAAGCAAACAAAAACTTGGAGGACTTATATGCCACAATTTCAAAACTTACTACAAAACTGTAGCAATTAAGGACAATGAAGCACTAGTTAGGTTAAATCAATGGATTCAAACTGAGAACACAGGGACAGGGTAGATGGTTCAGTAGTTAAAAGTACTTGCTGCACAAGAGCACCAGAGTTCGGATCTCTAGAACCCATATAAATGCCAGGTGAGCACAGAGGCTCCTCTGCAATTCCAGTTTCAAAGGTGGAGACAGGGGACCCCAGAGCAGCCTGGGTACCAAGCAAGACCAGCCATTTCCATGAGCTCTGGGTTTGATCTAGACCCTGTTTCAAAAAGAATAAGATGGAGAGGGATAAAGATGCTCAACACCAATCTCAAGCTTCCATGCACACGCAAATGGCATGCACACTGGACATTGTGCCCAAACACATGAAAACACGCATACACACATGGACATACACTGTATACCCATACGCACGAAAACATGAAAAAATTGAGAACCCAGAAATAAGGCCATGAGTCTATGAACAACTGTGTTCTACAAGGGTACCAAGATTTCCAGGGGAGACAAAGTTTCTTCAATGAATGATGCTTGGACAAATGAATAATCACACAACCATACTAATTAAGTTGGACCTTCACAGGACTCTCAATAACCTTAGCATTTGGGAGGTAGACGGAAGAGGATGAGCTGCACACCAGCTTGGACTACACAGCAAAACAAGTATTAGAAAACAATATAAGGAGCTGAGGAGCTAGCTCAAATGGTAAAGTGTTTGCTCAACTGGTAAAGTGTTTGCCATGTAAACATGAGGACCTGAGTTCAATCTCCCAATACCCACATAAAAACACACATTTATAATCTTGTTCCTGAGGAGGCAGTATCATCCCTGGGACATGCTAGCCAGCTACTCTAGTCAAACCATCAAACATGCCACAGGTTCAGTGAAAGACTATCTCAAAAAAGAAGATGGAAGCAATTAAGGAAGATACCTGACATTAACTACTACCCTCCAAATACATATGGATGTGCACAGACACATACACAGATATATATATATGTAATAAATGATATGTAATAAAATAAATATATGTAATAAATTGGATTGAGGTCATTTTTTTCAAATTTTTCACACCTTTTTTTAAAGGTGTGCACCACCATGTCATGCTAGAAGCTGCATTCTTTTCAAGTGTTCTACAAGGGTAACAAGATTTTTGACAGACAAAGCCCCAAAACAACTCCCAGAGGCTTAAATATAATAGCTAAGGATAGAAAACTTTTTAGAAGAGTAAATCTTTGTGACCACACTCAGAATTTGCAAGATTCTTCAATTATTCAAAAAAAATGTAAGTAACCTAAGAAAAAACAAACCACACCTGATCAAACTTTAAAATTTGTAAGTGTTAAGTAACCATCAAGAAAGGGAAGACATGGCTCTGCAGTTAAAAGCGTTTGCTGCTCTTGCAGAGGATACAAGGTCGGTTCTCAGCACCCATACGGCAGCTAACGACTGCTTGTAACTCTAGTTTCAGGGGCACCTGATGCCTCCTCTGGCCTCTGTGGTACATTTACTCAGGCAGGCTCAAACACATACATATAAATAATAAATATTTTTTAAAAAGTGAAGACAACTCAGATATGATACAAAATATCTGTAAGTAATTTATCTGACAAAAGATTTATAAGTAGACATATATAGAACTCTTAAAACACATAAAGGACAAATAATTCAATTAAACATGAGCATTTTCCCCAAAAGATATATTAATGGCCACTATAAAACTCTAGGGAATGCAAATCAAACCACAATGAGCCACCATCTCATATTCACTAGGATAGCTTTAAAAACAATACCACAGATAGAATGCCTTAAACAACATTAATTTATTCTCTCATAGTTCTGAAGGTTAGAAGTGCAAAAATCAGACATGGGTGCCATCAAGATTGGTTTTCAGATTACACATGCCATCTTCTCTGTTTCTCTTCAGATGACCTTTGCACTCAGCATGTGAATTTTTCTGGTACCCCACCTCTTTTTTAAAAGGATAACAAATTACC